TCTTTGCCAGTTCTGCCTTTTAGCATTTTGGCCCAGTTCCAGTGCCTTGGAGCTAATGGGCACGGCTCCATAATGGGCACAGACAAGCCTCAATTTTTCCATGGGGGAAATACCGTTCAATAGTACCTTTTAAAATCCTGCAATAACTTACACCTGGTTTAATGGAAAAAGAGGCAGTACTATTATTATTTAAGAAATAAGCTGCAAATTATCTTTTGATCAACAAGTGCAGAGGAATGCTGCAAAAGACTGAAATACCTTTGCCCAAGTTCCAAGCTGCCAGGATCAGCGCCAGCTCTGCTCTAAAAACCGTATAGATTCCCTAGGTAAGTGGTGAGTAAGGGAAGTGTAAGTTAAACCTTGCTGTGAGTTGGGACAGATGTCACCCCAGTGTTGCTAAATGGCTTCAGGGACCAATTCTGGTCACTTTGGGGTGTAAGCGCGGGTCAGTGACCTGTGCGGTACACACTCCTGTTCACAACACCTTGAATTAACTGTTCTAACAACGACAACAAAATGCTTTCCCTTTTCCCACAGATTTTCTTTATTTTCTGAATGGCTTTAAAATGAAGCCCAGGAGAAGTTTCTCCTTTTGTATATCCTCATTGTGAACTAGTTAGGAATTTGTTGTGATTCCTCTCATAGCAGGTGTATAAAACTAGTCCTAAGAGCCTGTCTGTTTGCCAGGAAAAGTCAAAAACCAGGCAAACAATGCCATTTTATTTCACATAAAATGCATTCAATGTATTCAAATATTCAACAAGTCACAGTGTTCGAATATCTTTTAACCCCCCAAAAATATTTGCAAAGTTGGAAGATATCAGGAAAAGCTGGGGAACAAATAAACACATAATTTTCCCTTAGTACTAGCTGTGCATGAGAGCAAAACTGCTGTTTTGAAGAGCTGGCAACCCAGTTTCTTAGAGGGTGTTTTGCAGAACATGTGAAAACACAGCAAGTTGTAGAACAAGGTTTGCCAGTGGACATATTTACTTGTAAGGAAGTTCAACAGTACAGGTATGATGTTATCTTCATAGGCTGTCTTGCCAGCATTTCTTGGGGACTTATTTGTCTAAAATGAGGAAAATAATAACTATTTTTGGAGTAAGGAGCTACAAATCCAGTGAAATAAGTCACAAAATGGTAGAAAATAGGTCTAGGGTCCAGAACAAGGGGCTGGTTGCCATCTGCCATCTCAGAGCAGGGTCATGTGCATGACCATATGCTGCTTTCTTTATAGTTTCCAGGGCTGGACACTGCTCAGGTCTTGCAGGCTGCAGCTGAATTACTCCTGCCTTCAGCAGAGTCTTTTTTCACCATTGTCTCCTCCTGTTGTTTCATGTCTAATCTTAATTTTCATTAGTTCCATGTAAACTTGCTGTTTCTTGCCCTGTCCATAATGGTCATAGTGAACAATATACTCTCTTCTTTTGCACCTCCTTTTAATGTGACTTAACACCATTATAATTGCTTTGTTCCTAGAGAAAATCTCTCCAATCTTTCAGTTTTACCTTCTAATTCCAATCTTTCAGCTTTTCCTTCTAATGAAGTTTTTCAAGTCTCTGATTAATCTTGCTGCTCTCTCCTTTGACTCTCTCAAATCCATTAATCTTTCTTGACTTGATTAATCTTTCTCAAACCTGGACACATTATTCCAGCAAAGGGAGCCAAACCATGTTCCAGACTGTTGTGTTCCAGCTCTCCCTATAAATCCTGTGTGCTGTTTTCCTTTTTTTCCCCCAAAGGAGTGATCACACTCTTCTCGTGTGATCTGCACGTTGCTTTCTGAAGCCACCCTTGGCACCTATTTGCCATTTTGTATGTACACAGATGACTCTTTCCTAAATGTACAACCCTGTGTCTGCTCTTAATAGACTGCAGAAATACACGTCGTACACGTTATTCCCACGTTTGACAAAATCACCCTGGATTGTAACCTTGTCTTCTGTTATATTGTTTAGTCTCCACAACTTAGTTATCTGCAAATTCAATAAAGAAACTCCTGATTCTGTTATAAGAGTTATTTATAAAAAGTTCTTCAAGTTCTATTTATAAAAAGTATCTATCTTCGATAGGCTACAAAATATTGCTAGTGCAAGTGAGAGTATGCACAAGCACTTTGTAATCAAATATAGTTTTATAGATACTTTAATAGCAGTGATCATCAAGGCTCCACATGTCCTGTACCCACAGTGCACGTTTCCATAGGGCTGTTGACAAGAGGAGCTGTGCTGCTCCTTCCTTTCCCACGTGTCACCTGTAATGAGGGGGCTCAAACTGAAAAGAATCCAACTAATGTCAGAGGGGCTGGCTGTTTTCTTTAAAGGCTTTCTAATTCCCTCTCAGCTCTTCTGATTTTCTCTAGTCAAGGCTCCCTGACTTGTCTAAGCTGAAGATTTCCTGCTGTCAGATATGATGAATTTGAAATGTGAAGGCCTTAAGGGTGGACGTTTGCATCGTTTTGGGTAGACTTATTCCATTGCAGCGGATACAGTGGAGGTTTGTCTGCCTACAACAGTGCTTCAGACAGAGGTGATGTTCAGTAGCCTTTTTCATTTTCCACAAATATGGGGGAGGTTCAACGTGCAGCATTTTATGCAGCATTCAGACAGGGTGGCTTTAGATGCCTTCCAGTGTAGTCGAGCTAAAAGGCAAAACTGAGTGTGTTTCCAGGAATTTGAAAAGGCAGGAAATGCATTACCTGGCACAGCATGTGGCTGCAACTGGATGCCAGAAAGTTGAGAATGATGATCTCCTGGCAGCTTAGCTGTTCATGGGGCACAGATGTGTATATTTATACCCAACAGAATAGGTAGGCAACACTTTTTCAAAAGAGTGCCAAGTTCTTAGGACCAAAAACGGAGGCATGAGATACCATGTAGCTTCTCAAGTGTGAAAAGTCCTGATGTAGGCTAAAAAGAAAAAAAGATGGCAAGAACTGTGATGTGTAGTGGCAGAAATAGGGTGTATGGCTCTGATTTATTGATTTGTATCGAGCATAGGTGCTGTTTACATAAGAAAATTAAATCTGATTGTTGAGTTGCTGCTGACTTGATTTCTATTTTCTTCATGCTTACCTTGAGTGAATCCAGTCTATTTATCTGTTATCTAAAGCTTTGAAAACATTGATGCTTAAAATGGAGCTTTAGGACTTTCTGTGTGCGTGTGTGGATTTGAGGGCTTTTTATGCTGATATCTCTGTACTTCTGCCTTTCTTTCAGCCGCTAAAGAACCCCCTTTTCAATATTTTTTAAATTGCTTTGCTTTTATCCTACATGTCGAAGGTAGAGAACATTCTAATGCAGAGATAAGAACTAAGAGAATGAAATTTGTAGAATAAAATGGTAGAATCAAACCTGTAAATCAGGAGAGCCATTGGCATTTTCTCCATATACATCACTACTAGATGCTGCATTTGATGGCCCTATCACTTCCAGTGCTTTTAAATTCTGTTTCTATTGCCTTGCTTAACTTGTAATGTAGATGGATTTTGAGCTTCCACATTATTACAAAGTACTTTTCCAAATGCCTGGAGAATTTTGAGAAGGGATAATATTTTTAATTTACTTTTTCATTAAATCTTTCACTTCCAAGAAAGGCAGATCAACCTGCAAATTTATTGTTCGATTGGAGGGGGAGAGAGTTTGTAGGTGAACTTGGGAATCATTTGAACATAATGTCTTTACAGTTGTAGTATCTTAAGAAAGGGGGTTTTCAGTTAACAAAAGATTTTGAGCACTCTTTTGTTCATCATTGGCAAAAATAAGATGAAAGAGAATCCAGTTCCATGCAGGTTTTTATCAGGAGTCACCTCATTTCTATTTTTAGTGAACGCTGCTAAAAATTGTGTAGCTTGCAGAATATGAAAAGTTAGCAAGATGACAGAGTGCTGGCACTTCTAATAATAGCCAGGTTTGGGAAATTAGGCAGGGAAACATGTATGGAGAAAGGAGTTAAAGGACTGAAACCCAGGAAATCTGTTGCTGTGGACTGGCAGATCTCTCAGTAGTTTCCATTGACTACTCTTACTGACATTGGACTGTCACCTGAAACTCTGGAAACAACATTCAAAATCTGAGGCAAACTGAAGTGCTCATATGGATGTGCCAGTTGAATTTTAAATCTGCTATGCTGGAAGTTGAATGTTTAATTTGACTTTTCATAGCTCTTCTGAGACTGGCTCTTGGTCAAGTTATTCTCTAGTTTAGGTAAAATAAGCAAGGATAAAATCACAGAGCATTAGTGACTGTGATAGGTAATAACTGATACGATGGAACCATTCTTTTTGGTGGAGTGCCATTTAGCTGCTCTAAATGACTGAAGGAGAAGAACTCTCAACACGGTGTCTCGAGACGCTGGCGTTATTGTCAGACACCGTGTCTGCACTTCACATTTTTTCCTTACAGAGAGAAGAAATAGGGTCAAAATGTGGAGAAAACCTTTCCAATCAAGAGATATTTTACAGTTTCTTTTTTTATTGTGTATCTGCCTTCTTTTACATACTTGGATCAATTTTCTTTTATTTAGCAATAGAATCCAAATCCAATTTTTTAATTCTCTTCCCTCTAAGCACTGTCTAATTAATGTGTTTCTAAACCAATCTTCATTTTTCATCTGGTTTCTTGTTGACTATCCCACTTACTGTTTTGGAATGAGAGTGGAAACATAGGTCTTGTTGATCTTTCTTTCACTGTTAATGTGCGTGCTTCATTTGAATAAAGAGGTAATTCTGCACAGAGATTTTGCATGATGTTTGGGGGCAGGGGAGGAGGGGAGATTGGGATTTGAAAAAAAAGCACTAAGGCTCGAGCAGTGACTGCTTTGACTGTTGGAATGGTAATTATTTCTGAACTTTCTAAATTGCTTCAAAACATGATCACATTACTGTGTGCGTCATTGGGAAGAACAGAGAAATTTGTTGTTTCTAAATTCTTAAATCTCCTCACAGAAATGTTTTGGTGTTATATAATTGCTGTTGTTCTTTTGCATGTTTTTCATAGCATCCTCCTGGGCAGTTGAGAAGGAAGTACAGTTCCTGCTCCACTATTTTCCTGGATGACAGCACAGTCAGCCAACCAAACCTCAAGTATACCATCAAATGGTGGGTTTGATAATGTTTTTTGGCTCAAACACACACATTATGTGCTGAATATGTACACATGGTTCTGAACCACTGCGAAGCAAGCTGCACATGGTTTAGTGCTTGAAGCAGTAGACTATTTTTTAACCCTGTCATGCTGCAGAAACAATGAACAGCACAAGCATAGGGTAGTACTCTGATTTTTAGCTTCTTGCAAAGTCAAACTCCCAACACTGTATATCTACCAAAAAACTAATGACTGAGGAATGTGGATTCTAGCAGCTGAAGTCCTTGTGCCCTCAGTGTGCAGCAGGCAGGTGCTTGGTCTGGTTGGGCCCTCAAAAATTCAGATACTTGTTTATCTGAAACTTTCAATCATCTGAAATCTGCTGAAATCTAACAGCTCTTTCCTGAGAATGAGAAAATGCACACTTGCTGAGCTTTCCTTCCAGGGTTCTGTTTGAAATGCTCCCTCTCCTTGCCGACTACCGGGGCGCTGTTGCACAGCCGATGATTGCCCAGCAGCTTTGCGTGTGGTGCTTATCTTCATGTGATGCCATTCATTTCAGGTTTTCTTGTGCCATTTCATGTTTAGAGAGAAATTAAATTAATCCTTACACCATTCTGTGTATTTTGTACAATCAGGAGAAAAAGGAGCAAACAAATGTGCAGGTGTTTTCTGCTGTTTATTTAGTGCTGCTGGTGAGGTGGTTTCTGTTGTTTGCAGGACCTCAGTGTACTCAAATGTAAATGGTTATTAAGTTAGGCCCTGTCTGTGCTACAAAGTTATTTACGTGGCAGACAAATATATTCAGAGTAGTATATCCAGAGGGGTTTTTGCTGATGGTTGTCATTAAAACACTTTTGTTTTTTTCCATTTAAGGAAAGAAGGGGAAAGTGGGGAGAGCATTTGCAGCCAAACCAATTCCACTGATACCTAATTCCTCACGAGCTATTTTTACTTGAAATATATTGTCTTTCATTTCCTCAAATTTCTTTAATAACTTAATAATTCAAAAGAACAAAGGAAAAAATATTTTATTTCTTGGAGTTTCATACATCTCTGCTCTCAAGTGCTTGTCAGGCAGTTCAGCTAGGAACTGTTAGTGGGAAAAGCAGGTCCAGTGGCCACAGCAGTGAGGAAGGCGCTTTCAGCAGGCCCTGGTGGAAGGGGAGGCAGGATGAGACCCGCGGGTCGAGGCTGGGGAGAGGTGCTGGTGTCCTGGGGGACGTGGTGTGCGCGGTGGGGAGGAGGGGACACAGGTGGGCCCTGGGGATCGCAGTGAGGCCGAGCGCTGCGGCTCAGCGGCTGCCACGGGGAAGGCTGGAAGCCGTGAGGGGGCAGGAGCGGGTTAGGTAGGGTGAGAAACTGGACTCTGGCATGGGAGGCCTATGGGTGACGTCCCGTCCAGGTGCACATTTAGCAGATTTAAGCGTGGGGAGATAGCAGGCGTTTGCAATACAACCCCATTTCCTGCCCGTGTCCTGGCCATCGCTGCAGATAAATGACTGCTGCACGTATGCAGGTCTGTGAGGGATGCGTTTTGGCTGGCTCATTTATTCCTTGCGGGTTGAGCACTGCTGGGTTTGAAGCAGCAGTGTGTCTCAGAGCACTTCCAAGCTGGTGGGGTGGCAGCGTCATGGAGATCCCCATGAGACTTCCCTGGCCGTTGTCACAGATGCGTGGATGCTAGCTGAACTGGCACATGAGAAACAGAATAAAATTTGGATCTGAGTTAAACTCTTGAAACTCTGAAAGCTCTTCAGATTCTGATACAGATTTTGAAATGGTAAATGTTTTCCTAAACTTAATTTGGCATTTTGCCGCAAGAGCAACCATATGGGCACCGAGCAGAGCTGTGCACATGTATTCATGTGTCACCTGCATAAACTGCACTAGAGCTGCAAGTGTGTTCTAGGGCATCACTTAAAATAAAATTTTAGCACAGTGTGTTTTGTGAGTAGATCTACTTTTATGTTCAGTGAGGACAGTGTCCTTTAAATGATGACAGTACCTTTTAATATCTTGAGCATGTATCTGCAGAAAAATTCAAATTTAAAAAGCAAATACAGTCCAAAAATTCTAATGCATCAGGCTAAAAGCTGTAGTGCCAATTATATTTACTTTCAGCTGAGAAAAACATGAGTTCTACTGTATGGCTTTTTTTAAAAAATGCTGCTTAAAATCATTTATAATTCTACTAACATTTATAATTCTCCAACATACCGTTTTTGCTAACATGCAGTATCTCCATTTTTAGATAAAAGTTTAGAAAGAAAAATATAGAGATATCAATTGACTTTTTCAAAAGGCTTTTTATGTCTGGAAAAAAGCAGGGAGGAGGAGTTTTGCATCAGCATAGGACTGGCCTCTCACCATAGGACTGGCCTGCTCTGTCAGTGCCAGAGAGAACAATCTGGCAACAAATAGGATCAGGGAACTGCCTTCTCTTTCTGTTCTCTTTGGTTTTGGCTGGTTTTAGACTGTCCGAATAAGTAGTGAGAGGGGTGGCTCTGCTGCATGCTTTGATGTTAACTCCTGCAGTCTAGGGAGTCGTGAGCTAGTAACTAGAGAATCAACATGAAAAAATACCTCTTTATTTTCTAAGCCTCAAACATACTCACCCATATATGCAATGAAAATTTTTTGGTTTCTGTGAATATAAGGATGTTTTTCATTGTTATGTCACCCATATATGCAATGAAAATTTTTTAGTTTCTGTGAATTTCATTGTTATACAGAATATGAACAGGCCTGGGTATCTGGATGCCTCGTTGAGAACAAGGAAGTTGTGCAGTGCCATGTGTTTTTCAGGCAGTCGTCTTTCCCAACTTAAAATAAGCTGATGCCATAAAAATGTAGGAGCCTGATACTTGAATCTCATATGTAGCAACTACATAGAAAGACAGCCAAAAGTTAGTAGATATAAATTCATAAGCAGTTGTGGTTAAAACATTTCATCATAATATTATCAAAACATACAATATTTTAATACCTCCAGTGTTATCAAAACCACTAATTTACAAATAGGGCTGATAATTCTTGAAGGAGTCTCACAGAAGGTGTTGGAGCAGCTTCAGGGAGTATCCACGGCCCTTCAACCATGGAGGCAAGTAGGTGTTTTAGCATTGACTTCAGTGGAGCAGAGCATTAAATGGAAGGAATGTGTAACTTTGTATAGGGAATATAACCATTTTGTAAGGTGGCTAGGGTGATAAACAAATGTTCTTAAATCGCAAGCATTGCAAATATTCTTAAACTGCAATATTTCTCCTGTTATCTAATACTGAATAGAAGAAAACAGACTATTGAGCATACTTTTTTGCCAAGAATTGTGCGAGGTTTTACATTTGGATATTAATGTAACAATTCTAATGCATAATATGACAGTCTTGAGATATTAACTCTATATTTTTCTTTACAGTGTAGCTCTTGCAATATATTACCACATCAAAAACAGGTATGTGAATAATGACATCTTGTACTGAAGGTATCTTTAACTGAGACAATCCCTCACAAACCTAAAATAAGTGTTCTATTTCTTTCAAAATATTTGCTGTATAGTTTTTCTCCATATTTTATTTTCTTTCAAGAATAAAATATATTTATAAGAAAAATTTGGAAGTGCATTTCAACTGAAAAAAATGTTCAGTGTTTGGTTTGGTGTGCCCTGGGCATTTCTGCATTAAGTGTATGGTGCGATTACGTTTAGAGAAATCTAAATAGTGTCTTTCAGATCTACTTTTTTTGGCTACCTTGGTACAGTTGCCTGTGTAAATCAATCAGCAATTACTGCTTATGTGCTTTTACATAAAATCTGTTAATTATACCCTAAGAGTGACACTGTCAATGAATGCAGAGAACGGGTGTCCCTCCTCTCCCCGTCGTGGGTAGGAAGGTGGCCGTGCTCCGGCAGCGCCGCTCGCTGCGCTCCCGCTGAGGCGGCGCCAGCCGTGTCCTGAACGCGCCCTCTGCTCCCCGGCGCTCAGGAGGGGCTGCGGAACCAAGGATGTGAAACAGCTCCTCTGTCTTCAGCTCTCTGTGAGCTGCTGGCAGGGACAGCGCGATAACAGCGTTTGGAGGTAGCTGCTGCAGAAACGGCACAAGCAAAACATACGTTCTGCTTCGCGCCGGTGCAGATGCGAGGAGGGTGTTGGTGCGTGTGGTGGGTGCTGGTGCTGGTGGGGGCTGAGGGGTGAGAAACCAGTGTAAGCCCTGTGTACGCTCACGTTTGATTTTGGTGGAAAATGAGTCAAGCACCGGCTTGGCTAGGGCAGAATTGTTTACAGACAGCAGCATCCCCCCTGTTCTTTCTCTCCTACACACTTCACTCAAAACTGAATTGCTTTTTAGTATCTCTTTAGTGCTTTTAGTATATTTTTTTAGTTGTCATCAGTCCCATATGTACATTTTCAGAGAAACATCACACAAATTGGAATATTCTTTCCTGTTTCTTTCATTATTTTGATTTTAATATTATAGCTATTCCTGATTTTACTCAGTGCCTCCTAACATTGTTTTACTGGTTAACTTTTTGCACTTGTTGTGCTAAAAGACTGCACCTATCTTGATTTGAAAGGAACACACAAGTATTGGTGAACTTGCTAAAAAACACAGCAGATCAGAACCAATAAATAAATAAATGAATAAATCCAAAAACTATAAGAATGCATAGCTGATTAGTAGATGGTTCATTTTAAAAGATAACAGTATGAACTTGTTTTAATGAGGAAGAACAAAGCTTATCACGTCCTTTTTGGTGGTACAGATTTTTAAGGACAAGCAAGTGTGCCTTTGTGATTTGCAGAAACTACAGTATAAAGAAATAAAATGGATTTTTTCCCCCTTTTTTATTGTGAAGGATCACAATTTACTGGAACCCATCAGTGATTTCAGTGAGATTACTTTTGAGGAAGATAACTGGCCTTTTTATGCCAGAGTTCAGGCGTCTGGCCTAAAATCCTTGCTAATGAGGAATGTCAGGATATTGCGAAGTAATTATCTCATTCTAGCTGTTGCCTTTAATTTAGGTGCTCATTCCTTTTTAAGGAATGTTTATTGTTTAAGGAATTGTTTATTTTCAGCGTTAGCAGGCTCTAAAGCAGAAAAAAGTTCACCTCCAACTGTTGAGATTTAACTCTGTTAACCACCAATAAGTACATTTTGTATTCTTGAATTCCTCATAAAACTCATGTCTGCATGCTCTATAATAGGATGGAAAACATATTCAGTGGTCTCTATACTAACTTCCAATGGGCTCTCTATGACCAGAGTTGCAGGAATACAATAAAAAAGGTGAGATTGTAATCAGAAAATGCCTAGTTCTGACTGGTCCTGTTTGACCATTTCCTTTCATAATTAATTTTTCACAGTTAATATTCCTGTCAAAACTGCATACATCAGATTTTTTAAATTGCCTTCTGGATGTTAACGCTTGCAAAGTTGCATTAACTTTTCTACTGATCTGGAGCAGTAAGAATCTGACAGAAACAGCAAACAAAACCCTTGGAGAGGGGTATTACTGAATTTGTGTGTGCTCCTTACTGCTTTCAGAAATCACTAGTAGGATAAAGCTTTCCTAAAGAAATAAAAAGTGAAGCATGTATGTATTAACTAAAGGACAACTATAAAGCACTGTTGGGTGTCTGTAAACTTTCATAGAATAAATGACAAAGGAAGAGGAGGAATTAATTAAATGGAGAGGTTGCAAGGATTAACATGATGGAGTTACAAAAAGGAGAGTAAGCTGAGCAGATTTTATTATATTAGGAGATGGTAGTAGTACATGGTAAGTTTTTAAACGCCTCACAGTAAGTCAAGCAAAAGCTATTCCTCCTGGGCATCACAAGCTGCAAATTTTAGTGTACTTTGTAGTAGGGATTTCATATTAAGAATGAATTTTATGGCAGAGTAGTTCCAAGAGCACATTTCTGCAGTGGTTCTAAGCATCCCACACAAGAGATGAGTTTGTTTTAGCAATATGCTTTTTGTGGAGACTGCAGGCTGTTGTGTTCAATTAATGACACTGCATTGCTTGTATTACTTCGCAGGGACACAGACGGAAGAATGCTCTTAGATATTTTTGATGAAAACCTTCATCCCCTTTCGGTAAGTTCCTCTCCAACTGCTTCCTTTTCACTCAAAGTGCCTTTCTGTCTGCCTTCTTGTTTTGTTTCAGTCATCTTTTTGGAAATATTTCTTCTTTAGAAAACCGAAGTGCCACCAGATTATGATAAACATGACCCGGAGCAGAAACAGATTTATCGCTTTGTACGGACGTTGTTCAGTGCTGCTCAACTGACTGCTGAATGTGCCATTGTCACCCTGGTAAGTGTCTGAGAGATGACAGCAACTATCGAACAGACCCAGTTTTGTCCTCAAAGCTTAGTTTTGTATGACTGAGTAGCTCTAGGTGTTGCCAGGGAATTTTTTTCTTACCATAGAGACCAAGGAAATTTCTTGATGGGAAAAGATATTGCAGTTCGTTTTTTTGAGTAGAGTAAGTGAACAAAGAAGATCTCAGATAACATACGACACAAATGTCATGGTTACGTATTCCCCTCAGAGTGATAACATTACAAGGCCACCAGGGTGACTAACAGAAAACGCAGGTGGCATGAGCTGTTGGAACACAAGGGAGTGCTAAAAGCAGAAGTGCTTCCACTTGTGTCACGTTTACTGTGTTTCATTGTAGCCTCAGGGACAGCTGTAGAGGTAATTTAATAGCACTAATAAGAATGGATGGACACAAAAAGGATTCGCTGAGTGACTGGAGCATGTTGGTGACTGCTGTTCTTTACTTGCACTGTACTTGTCTTTCAGGACCACGTCATTGGATTGAACAATGGCACTCAATGCTGAAGTTTAGCTGCTTAAAAATAGCATGACACAAAAGTGTGCTCAGATTTTCAGCTGGTGTGGGTCATCACAGCTGTGTGGATTAATGGAGCTAAAGTGATCTCCACTAGTTGAGAATTACTGAATATTCCTGATTTTTTTGTCTTGCTGACTTAGTTAAATCAGTTCAAGTTTAAGGCACAATTTTGGTCATGTTCTTGACTTAGGAATTTTTAAAAGAACAGGTTTGGGTTATCTTGTTGTTTTGGTTTGGTTTGGTATTTTTACTCACTACAGTGTGTGTTTTCATAGCAGCTTTATTATTTACTTTAGAGAGAAGAAAGGGAAAATGGAGAAGGTAAATTTTGAAGCACAGAAATACTCATTTCCTGTGTTAATCTTAGAGGCCAAAGGAGAGAGATTAGTTGGCAGGCTTTTTCCTTCAGAGACAGTCAGAATTAATTCTTCTGGCTAGCACAGAAAAGGGATATGAGTGAAATAGGGCAAGAAACACCCTGCAGTGCTCCACCCCTGCATACTGAAGGGTCCTTCTACCTAGTTACTTGATGTTACTTGTTTTCTGAAATGACATTTTGTCTGTCCATTTTATGTAATTGCACTAAGTGCTTGTCCTTATTTTTTCTTTCCAAGTGTTGTTTGCCAGAGGCAAGATATGTTGTGTGAATCAGTATTTTCTTGTATAATTTAATGAATTTATCGTCAGGTACAGTGGAAACTTCTAGGTGTCTGTTGTTTGATCTTAGATTGTTTAACCAACGAGTGGCCTCTTTAGTAGCGAGAAACAGGGACTCTATTGCATAACAACATCTTTCTGTCAGTGCAGTGCATGGAAAGTTCTTGCCCACAAATGTTGTTAACTTGGGCATGTGTTTCCATATCTTTCATTTTCACTGCTTTGTCTCTTGTACTTCTCATGTGGTTTTCCAAATGCGAGCACTATTTTTGGTGTGAGCTGCAATTAAGTGTAAATATTTTTAACCCATTTGTTACACTGCAGAGGCATTTTCCATTGTTTTTAGTGTTCAAAACCATAGGTGGCTTGTTTTTTGTACCTGTCACTGTGATAAAGGGGTAAATGACTCTTTTATACTCTGTTTCTCAAAAAAGCCATTCAGATGTATGCAGATGGATTTGGTGCAGGTGATCAACATTACTGTAATGTTATTCTTGCCCATGTTGTGAGGGTGCATGAATCTTCATCAGTCTGCAGAAGAGAAGACTAAAGGGGATCTTACCAATATGAATATTGAGGGTGTCAAGGGGGTGGGTGGCCCTCTTCAGTCATGGCCAGTGATAGGACAAGAGGCAACAGGCCCAAGCTGGGGCACAGGAAATTCCACCTGAACACGAAGAAAAACTTTTGTTACTGAGAGAGTGAGCACTGGAACAGCTTGTCCAGAGGGGCTGTGGAGTCTCCTTCCTTGGAGGTATTCAGAAGCCATCTGGGCAGGGCCTGCTGTAGGTGCTCTAGGTGGCCCTGCTTGAGCAGGGGTGTTGGACCGGGTGTTCTCCAGACATCCCTTCCGACTCCAGCGATTCTGTGGTTCTCTTCAAAAAAAACTTCAGAATTTTTGGATAAGTTGCATTTGAGAAGTATAAAATTCCACTGGGTTTGGTCTCTTGCCTCTGTATGTCTGGGTCCCATTTCTTTTTTTTTTAGTGCCTTGAGGAGTGGTCCAAGACAGACAACATGGTTTCTGAGTGTTCAAACACGCAAAGTAATTTGCGGAAAGGAATCAGCTTCCTTCTGCCACCACACCTTGCCCCTCAATCTTACTGCAGTTGATACTGTTGTTTATGAATCCCTCAGGTCCTTTCAATTTTGATCTGCTCACTGGAGAAGGGAGGAACAGACACTGCAGAAGTTTATCACAGAATCACAGAATGGTTGAGGTTGGAAGGGACCTCTAGAGATCATCTAGTCCAACCCCCTGCTCCAGCAGGGACACCTAGAGCACATGGCACAGGGCGGCATCCAGGTAGATTTTGAAGATCTCCAGAGAAGGAGACTCCACAACCTCTCTGGGCAGCCTGTTCCAGGGCTCTGGTGCCTTCACAGGAAAGAAGTTCTTCCTCGCATGGAGATTAAACTTCCTGTGTTTCAACTTGCACCCGTTACCCCAAGTCCTGTCACCGGCCACCATGGAGAAGAGCCTGGCCCCATCCTCCCTACATTCACCCCTCGGATACTTGAAGATGTTGATCAAAACATCATTTTGTTTTGCTTTAGCCCAATTGTACGTCGGGGAGCAACCTGATATCCCTGTCTGCTACTCGTTCCCCTCGGAGGGCTGCCAGAACACGGGAAGTAAATCCATGGAAAAGCAGATCCCAGTACATTTTGAACTAGATAGGAGAACTATTATTTTTCTTATTATTTTTCTTTCTAATTACTTTGAACAGTCCTAACCCCCTTTTATTACTGCCCAGGCAACCCAAATTGTTGCTGTGGATTAAGAAGTTTAGCTGAATGTACCTGTTTGTTTTGGGGGAGTTTTTTTTGTACGCCATTAGCGAAGTAGAAGCGGCCGTTACAATTGGTTGTATAGCAGTCTATGTGATCAGTGCAGCAGCTGAGGAAACGTGACACTCCAAGCTTAACAGGCTTCGGCAAAAAAGCCAGCATCGAATTGCTTTAAGCAGTTAATTAAAATATTCCGATTAAAGCTGCCACAATTACAGCAAAACCAACTTATAATTAAACAAAAAAATTTAATTTTCATACAGCCTCCAGAACTGCCAAGAGATTTCCCATACTGATAGGTAAAAATTAAACTCAGACTGAAACAATTAAATACTAATTCACATTATTTATTTATAAAATAATACCTTAAAATAATATTAGTTGTAAGAATTGTGTTGCTGATTAAACAATGGATATAATAGATTTTGTCCCAGTGAATAACTGAATATATACTACCTGGGATCTGACTTTGTGGGAAGAATAATACATACGTGTTTCTCCCTGTCCGGTATTGTTTCTGCTAAAACTGAGAAATCCATAATTTATCAGTCTTGTCTCCAAATTCTCATGTTGTGTGTTGCTTAAAACTGCCTTATACTGGCAAGTTCTAGTTATGTAACTCTATTAATTGAATAGCAAATATAAGTGTATTAATGAGATCCATACCAGTAGCAAAACATTACAGTGCTTGCAGTGCAGAATTAAATGTTTATGCTCTTTTTTTTTTCCGACTTTACCTCAGCTTCACTTACTAAGCAAAAAGGAAAGGAAAATATTGAGGAAAGGAAAAAAGAAAGAAAAAAAAAAAGAAAACCCAAGGTGATCAGAGTGCGTAGGTTTAATAATTGTGTTTAGATCTGTGGATGTTTCTTCTGCGAGTGACTGCTGGTGGCCGCAGCACCTAAATGCTAAAAACAGTGAAGCGAGAGGTGTTCACCTGGAGACCCAGCGTGTCATGCGGGCTGCCTAACTGGGCTTGCTAAATGAGGTGCCACTTGGCAGAGCTGGAGACACCTGAGCCGTGGCCGAGGTCGCGTTCAGTTGCCCGTGCACCTGGGTTGCCGTGCAGCTAGTGAAGGAAGCTGGTGCAGCGCACAGGGGAGCGAGGCCTCGTGCCGGTGGGCCGGGCCCTGCTGGGCAGTGCTCAGGGCTCTGTCGCTCCTTGGCTAGGTTTTTGTATTAGATTTTGGTTAGTCAGTCTAACAGTAGCACACACGTGCTCTATGGAATCCCTGTTCTGCCTGGGTGGCCTCCTGCATCCAAGCAGAGAGCTCAAGAGCCCGTAACCCTGGGGTCTCCTCGGTTGGTCACCGGCTTTTTGATGGGCAGCGCAGGCGCAAGAGCAAGGGCTGTGGCCAGGGTTGTTGCTGGCCGCTGTTGTTTAGGCCTGACTTTCTGGGAAGCACACCTTGTACTTTTTCAACATGTACTCTTAAAAATAGCAAATGGATAAATTTGCAAGGGCTGTAGTGTTGTGATGTCCTTTCCTACCAAATGGATGGTACCAGGCCTTTTGGGAACATTGTGGATGCCCAGCTGAACAATTGCAAAGCACAGCTCTTTCTGCAGAGTGGTGGTAGGAAACCGGCCCATTGCTTAGAACAGCAGCATATGGCAATTTAGTGGTTAGATGACAAATTAAACTTTGACTACCTGAGACCCGCTGCCAACTATAATGTTTTTCCATACAAATTTATTTTTTCAAGCTTCAAGGCACTAAAGCTTTTTCAAAAAGAAAGGAGCGTGTTTTCTTTTGCTTCTTTTTGATTGTTGGGGTGGAAAGCTTGTCTTTGTTAGCTATTCTGTGTTCCTGGAACCTATAACGTGGGTCATTTAGTGAATTGTGATCTACTGCAGGTAGATCATAAAATGATTTCAGGTGGAGTGGACCTCTGAAGCTCCTGCATCCTGCTGACAGCAAGACCAGCAAGGTCAGGGTGCTCAGGGCGCTCAGGGCCCTGTCCTGAATTCCTCTGAGGACAGAGGTTTTGCAAGCTGTTCCATTGCTTTATGGAGGCATATGAAAACAATTTTATGAGATATTGGGTGCTTAAACTGCAACTCTAGTGTGGTGAGAGGTGATAGTGGGGTATTGAAAGCTAATGTTAAACATCTTCAAAATGAAGCAACAAATTGAAGTAAGAGTTGATAAAATGTAAGTGCTCCTTTGGATCAGAAAATGTTGAAGTGAAATAATTTCACACTTTTTTATTTGGAAAAAAATCTGGAAGAAAACCCTTCCTCTAGCATTTAACATTATATCCTCTGAGATAGAGAAAATGAAATGTTGCTTGGCACTAATTAAACCTGGTTTTCTCAGTACTATAGCAGAGGTCAGTGTTGGATATTCTCATAGCAACCAGGTTTTAATGATGGACTTTAGACATAATTTGAAATTAATGTTCATTAAGCCAATACTTATTTGGTGGGAGTAATGAGGAGCATGGACATGATTTTGCACATGCAAGAATACATGTTGAATAGTGTTTTGCCTGCCCTATAAAAGTAAATAAATTTCTGAGCAGTTAGCAATACTTTAGTTACTTTTTTTTTCTATAGAAGAACCTGAAAAATCATCAGTTTTCTGTGAAGTATCATATTATAAATGTCCTGCCTTTATAGTTCTGTATAACGTTTTTCTCACAGATGACTTGAATACTCATTATGTCTGTTGTTTTGTGCTTAATGGTATATATTTAGTTAAACAAAGTGCTTAATGCCAGGTTAGAGTTAATTCTTCATTAACGTAAGAAAAAACAGAGAACCATTTGTTGAAAGTGAGAGCCAAAAGTCTTTCTTTGAGACTTTTTATTTGAGCAGACTGTGGTTTTGGGTCTATTACAACTGTTCAGACTTCAGGGTATTCTGTAAATTCAGAATTTCATTCAAACCATTGTGTCATTGGCAGAATCAATGAGATCTTGCTATTCAAAATAAGATTGCTGTGCATCTGTTACTTTGCATTTGCTTATTTCTAAACAGCTCAAAAACTTAAAATAAGTATTTTCTATTTTTAATAATTATCATTATTAATAATAAATATTATTATTTATATTATTAATATTAAAATTCTTTAGTAATAAATTAGTCATACATTCATAATCTCTCTCTTTTTTCAATGTTACTTTAAAAAAGTTAACAGTATTTTAAATGTGATATATAATAAAAGAATGCTTTCAGCTTTCTTTGCAGTTGGTTATTTCTTCTGTTTCAACAGAAGTATATTTCCTTCAGCACCCATAGATGAATAGCTTTATATATTTAAAAATTTAACACAAAATGCTGAGCCTTCGGTGCTTAGCAGTCTTCTATTTTTATACAAAATGAAGCCTTTCAGGTAGGTTTAATGTTTTGCACGTGTATTGTACTTTCATCAGAGTAGCTCATAGAATCTGCCAGTTTCTGTCAGTCAGTTCAGAATCTTGTAAGAACAACCGCAATCTAAATAACCACCTAATTGCTTTATATCACAGTACAGTGAAGAGGATATTATAAGATCTATTATAAGATACAAAGAACAGACTCTTCTCCAGTAAGTGCAAACGGGTATTTTTATGGAGTAGCCTATCAAGATGAAGCGTTTTGGGGTTTTAGAAAGGTGTCTGCTCTGGCACGTGGAGGCAGTGCCCGTGCTGAGCTGCCATCGCCACGTCAGGCGCTCTGCGGGCAGCGACTGCCCCTGCGAGACGAGGGCTCAGCTGCTCCCCTGCCGCAAGTCGAGTTCGGAACCGGAGTGGAAATTACTGATTTGAGGAAAGTAAATAGCTGTGTTTCATTTTCCTCAATCAAGGGAGTGCAGTGAAACCAATCTGAAACAGCCTCAGCATGGAGTGAGAACTCAATATGGCCTGGGAGAGGCTGTTGGCTATTGGAGAACAAACATGTTTACGTGTTTTACATAGGGAATCGTTCAAGTATACAACTGTGTTAGTGGTAGTTACAGACATGTCTGTAACTTGAGTTTTGTTTTTCTTAAATGAGATCAGAAACAAAGAGCCAGTACTTTATAATGGCCATTTTGAATGAAAATTACCTAGAATGGTATATACATAGTGTTTTCTTTTCCTGGGTTTTTCTTGTGCCATGCCTTTTATACTGCATAGTGTCTACAAAAGACTATTATTTATTTGCTAGGCATAATGGTGTGCACATATTTAGTTATTTAACGTGTTTTTCATGGATTGTAAACTTTCCTGTAAAACTTTAAATTCTAAAACATGTAGTTGCTACCTTTGATCTTCTTATAATGTCCTTGTTATGCACATTATAGTTGTGAAAATTAACAACCAAAACTCTGTTAGGCACTTAATTGACCTTGATGCTTTTATATAGCTGTGAAAATAAATGGGCTTCAAAACTCATTAGTTGTCATTGTTTATTTTTGATTAACTAATGTGGTCTAGGAATGGAGGACCTTTCAAGAAGCCCAAATCACTGAAGGTCCCTGCGTGCTTGGATGTGAGTGCACAGAGTCACAAGGGAGCTGGTCTGACCGGGCCTTAGTGCTCTCTCCCCGACAATTCCACTTTTTTAGGATCAGAAAGCAAAGGCCAACTAAAACGTGAATATATCACATTACGTCTTGAGCTTGGCATAAATGTGTACATTTACATCCCCAGCTTTTATAGAAGGATCTTCCTGAGAGCAGATGATTTTTATCAGATGATTTTATTGGGTGTAGTAGGATATTTTTCCTTTTCGTTTGTCTTTATTAACAAAGTAGATTAAGTCTTGATTTTTACTCTGTTTTCACAGGTATACCTTGAAAGACTTTTAACTTATGCAGAGATAGATATTTGCCCAGCAAACTGGAAACGAATTGTACTGGGTGCAATTCTCCTGGCATCCAAAGTCTGGGATGACCAGGCAGTGTGGAACGTGGATTACTGCCAGATCCTGAAGGACATCACAGTTGAAGACATGTGAGTCCAGTACGTTTATTTTGGTCACTGACTGCCGAGGTCTGTGTGTGTGGGCACCGAGGGAAGTTCCCTCACAAGTGACACCACATCTGTGCATCTGCGTCGTATCTAAGCGTGGTGGATGCTGGCAGATTGCACTGGGTCCGTTTGGGAATTGCTTGCATAGAAAATGTGAATGTTTTTATTTCTGGTTAAAAAGTAGGTTACCACTGGGTGTTTGCAGAGTGTTTGAAACTGGATCTGCAGAACACTCTAAACCTTTCACTTGGCAAACAACACCCAAGTTGAGGAAGCCGGCGTGTGCTCGTGTCAGTGGCGCTGGCCCTCTTGAGCTACCTCTGCACACAGGCAGCAGAGCAGTGTGTAAGGCAGGACAAAGATTCACTGGGATCCCCACGACCCTTAGGCCATCACCCACTTGGTCCCTGCTGGACTCAAAATAATGCTGATTTTATTTTGCCATGTCCTGACAAGTTTGTTTGCAGAGTGTTTTTAAAAAAACCCTGATATTTTAATTTCCAAAGAAAAACTTCCATTTTGAACATTTTTTTTTTAAAGTTTTACATAAGAACATTTTTAGGAAGTTATATTGTAACAGCATATACAGAGTTGTGATGTCTGCCGGGATATGTCTTGGTCACTTTAAGAGTATATTCAAACAAGAATTAAAGTATGCAGATGGGATAAGAGTAAACAAAATTG